CCTCCTCTGGGGGCGGCTACAGTCATGGCTTTGTGCAGGGGTGGGGGCCGCTTCCGTGTGTCATCCTACTTACATATGCAGCTGTAAACAATAGACAGTACTTTAAGATCTGCACGTCCGTGTACTCTACGTGTCTTCTGCGACTTGGTTTCTTCATTCAACATTGTTTTCAAGATCTGTCTGCACTGTAATGATAGATTTGTTCATTTATTTCAAGTTCCCTGCAGCATATTAATTGTGCTGTGATTGCAATTCACTGAAAAACGAAGGAGCATATTCCAAAAAGATCTTGAGTTACTCCCTGTATGACAGGGAGGAAAAGCCCTTGCCGGAAGAGCTTTCTGCCATCTTTGATTTGAAGAGTGGATTGGAGCGGCTTTCAAGTGTGAGCGCAAGCTCTGGAGTAAAAAGCATCTGGCCAGGGCTAGGGTAATATGTGCTGACTGGGCGAGGGAACAGGAGTGGTTTTAAAATACAATTATGCTTAGAGCATATGCTATTTAAGATACCATTCCTCCCTCCCAGCAAGATCCTGTCACACTGGTGTTGATGGCTGTATTCTTCTGCTATGGAAGAAACAGAACTAGAGTTGACAAATGTCTCTTTGGCATTTGTCTGATACGTAGATAAAGACTTGGGCCTCAATATTCCCTCTGTAGTTGGTGAACATTTGTTGAACACCAACAGTGAAATAGGCACAGGAAAGGCAGCTGCTTGCAATATCATCTCAGTATAAGCAGGAGCCTTGCTGAGTGTTTCTGTCTGTCTTTTATTAAAGGTCCACACACGTTCCTGTCGGGGAGGATCAAGTCCAGCACATGGAGCTAGTTCAGGATCTAGCACAAGGGTTTAACAAGAAGTATGGGGAGTTCTTCCCGGTGCCCAAATCTATCCTAAGTAAGTAACACACATATGACTGTTAAATCAGGCCATGTTTCCAAGACAGGACTGGATAACTGACCAAGGCTTGGGATTTCTCCGGGGCTAAACTTGGCTTTCTTGTGGACAGGCTTCAGGATTTGTAACTAGAATCCCCATCTTTCTCTGTACTGTGGTAGACCTTGTTAGATTATTGGATAAAATAACTAAAAAAGTTTGAAAAGTATGGGAAAGGCTAAAAATGAAAAATAATCAAATTCATTAAATTATATAATACGTATATATATGTATTTGGTAAATTATATAATATTTTGAGAGTATGAGAAAGACTTAAAATGGAAAATAATCATTTTTATTAAAAAGGATTATATAATTTACCAATTATATATATTTGGTAAATTATTTTATATGTATATTGAAAACATATTAATAAATCAATGTGTTAATATTGTATTATTAATATATCATATATTAATATTTTATATATTTAATACTTTATCATGAATTACATATATATATATATGCACACACATACTTCCCTGGTTTATGGATGGGGATACTAATGGTTGGCAAAGCTAATTTTGCATCCAAGTCATATATCAAGTTGGTGGCAAAGCTCTTCTGATTTCTTTTTTTTTTTTAATGTGTATTTATTTTTGAGAGAGAGAGAGAGACAGAGTGCAAGCGGGGGAGGGGCAGAGAGAGAGGGAGACACAGAATCTGGAGCAGGCCCCAGGTTCTGAAAACTCTTCTGATTTCAAAGCCAGTCGACCTTGCCTTCCCTGCTCACAAGAAAACAGTCAGAAGACTGAGAACTGCTGAGTCATCGGCTAGATAAAACAAGAGGGCACTGATCCTTCTCACACTCTCCCTTCCTAAATGCACGACATCGACAGAATGTACCGTCCACCCAGTGGATCTGACATGGCACCTGCAGCTTGTGAGGTAGTACTGGTCTGGAATCTCCTTGAGGAAAGAAGCTGTGAATCTCTATCAATATTTCAGTAGCGATGCAGATTTGTGGCAAGGGCAGAGATCACTGAGCCCAATTAAACTGAGCGTTTATTAAACTGACTGCATTTACGTGGGCCCAGTATCTGATCAGAAGCAAAACGCAGGTATAAATTTCTAAGCTATTGCAACGGTTCGCACAAATAAAAACCGGGCCTTCCGTGCATTGAAACCTTCTTTTAGCAACAAGTAATATTTTAATGCTTTTGCCTATTATTGTTTTTCCTATTTCAACTTGATATGTTTCTGTAATAGCCATAAAATAGGCAATTATTAAAAACACTGGTTTATAAAGCACAGCTTAACATCTTGATTCTATCAGAGCAGTAAGTGAGTCACTTCTGTGTGTGTGTGTGTGTGTGTGTGTGTGCGCGCGCGTGTGCACACACACGCGTTGGTATATACTTATATAACTGTGGATAAAGAAATGAAAGCATTGCCACAGATTGTTAAAATTTGTTGGGGGCAGGAAGGGCAGTGTTTGTAAAGGGCAGAGAGTGATTAGCTAATAGGGAAAGAGAGAAGGAAAGAAATAGATCAGACTTTTTAAAAAGGTAGGCACAGCTAAGTATGATTGATATATTTTCATTTGTGTACGATTATACATTTTATGAGTATATATGCATTAAGAGATGCATGAAAATATGATCAACAAAATGTTAACAGTATTATTACATATTACAGGTGATCTTTATTTTCATGCTTATATAAATGGCTTGAATTTTTCACTATGAGTATTTGGTATGTATATAATCAGATAAAAATAACAAAGTCATTTGGCAAGAAATAACAAGTGTTGGCGAGGATGTGGAGAAAAAGGAACCCTCATGCCCGATCGGTGGGATGCAAACTGGTGCGGGCACTGTGGAAAACAGTGTGGAGGTTCCTCAAAAAATTAAAAATAGAACTACCGTATGATCTGATAATTTTACTGTTGGGTATTTACCCAAAGAAAAGGAAAACACTGATTCAAAAAGATATATGCACCCCTGTGTTTATCGCAGCATTATTTTATTTATAGCCACGATATGGAAGCAACAACCTAAGTGTCTGTCAACAGGTGATGGAAAAGGGGGATGTGGTGTATATATACACAATGGAGTACTGCTCGACTATAAAGAAGGATGAGATCATGCCATTTGAGACAGGCTGGGTGGACCTAGAGAGTATTATGCTAAGTGAAGTAAGTCAGACTGAGAAAGACAACTACCACATGATTGCACTCATAAGCGGAATCTTTTTTAAAAGAGTCAACAAAAAGCAGAATCAGGCCTATGAGTACAGAGAACAAACTGATGATTCCCTGAGGGGAAGGGGGTTTGGGCCAAACGGGTGAAGGGGAGAGGGAGGTACAGGCTTGTAGTTATGGAATGAAGGAGTCGGGGGAACAAAAGGCACAGCGTAAGGAATGGGGTAATAGCATTGGAGGGTTAGATGGGTAGATGGGGTAATAGCATTGGAGGGGACAGGCGGTAGTTATACTTGCGGTGAATATGGCATAATGTCTGGATTTGTCAAATCACTACGTTGTACGACAGAGTTGGTGTATGACTGTGTGTCAACCATACTCACTAATAATAATAATAATAATAATAATAATAATAACAACGTCATTTGGTATTCTCTGCACGTTTTAAGATCTAGACACTGGCATTCCTGGTGATGTTTTCTGATTTTGGTGTTGTCTTCTGGTTTTGGTTTCGGTGTGTGTGCGTTGGCGTTTTCCCCCAGCATCGATGAAGAAGGTCAAATCCCTCCGTGATCCTTCGGCCAAAATGTCCAAATCGGACCCTGATAAAGTGGCCACCGTCAGAATAACGGACAGCGCGGAGGAGATCGTGCGGAAATTCCGCAAGGCTGTGACGGACTTCACGTCGGAGGTGACCTACGAGCCGGCCCGCCGGCCGGGGGTCTCCAACCTGGTGGCCATCCACGCAGCCGTGACCCGCCTCCCCGTGGAGGAAGCGCTCCGCCGCGGCGCCGGCATGGACACGGCCCGCTACAAGCTGCTGGTGGCCGACGCTGTGATTGAGAAATTTGCGCCAATTAAGAGGGAAATTGAAAAACTGAAGATGGACAGGGGCCACTTAGAGAAGGTTTTACAGGTCGGGTCAGCAAAAGCCAAAGAATTGGCACACCCCGTGTGCCAGGGTGTGAAGAAATTGGTAGGGTTTCTGTAGGAAGCTTCAATCCCAGAAAGGCGTTTATGCCTTGTGGTCTGTGCACTCCAATAAAGGCAGCTTTCCTCACAAACGAAAAATTGTGGCTTGGGGATGTTTAATTTGGTACCCATGATTATTTGCTTCATTTGATAAATAATGATTTGTAGCCTTCAAATAGAGCAGTATTCTAAATCATCAGCAAAATGCTGTGGCTAAAGGAAGGAGGGAGTGGGGGAAGGAGGAGGGAAGGAGGGAGGAGGGGAGGAGGGAGGAAGGGAGAAAGGAGGGAAGAAGGGAGGGAGGAGGGAGGGCAGGAAGGAGGAAGGGAGAGAAGGAAGGAGGAAGGGAGGGAAGGAAGTAGGGAGGGAGGAAGGAAGGCAGGCAGGCATAAGTATCTGAACCCTCAATTATTTGAGGCACATTCCTTACCCTGAATAGGTACACAAATGTGATTGAGCTGAGCAGCAATTTGGCAAATGGAGGTATCATTTGTGTCTCCAGAGTACGTATTACTAGGCTTGCTCCACTTTATGTGTCCCAACACTTTGAAATGTTGTTATTGTTGTTGTTGTTGTTATTGTTTAAGTAATCTCTATGCCCAGCGCCCAACATGGGGCTCACACTCATCACCTGGAGATCAAGAGTCACACACTCCCCGAACTAAGCCAGCCAGGTGTCTCTCTGTCCCAAACCTTTTATTTTTTTTTATTTTTTATTTTTTTTTTTTAAATTTTTTTTTTCAACGTTTATTTATTTTTGGGACAGAGAGAGACAGAGCATGAACGGGGGAGGGTCAGAGAGAGAGGGAGACACAGAATCGGAAACAGGCTCCAGGCTCTGAGCCATCAGCCCAGAGCCTGACGCGGGGCTCGAACTCACGGAGCGCGAGATCGTGACCTGGCTGAAGTCGGACGTTTAACCGACTGCGCCACCCAGGCGCCCCCCAAACCTTTTAAAAAGTAGTATATAGAGGCTAGAATCCTTAGGATCCCATTTGGGCCAATTTGTATTGAGATCTTATAAAAACTCAGTTGATATATATTATGATTCATTTGTCACTAAGATAGTGCCTGCCTAAATGTATTTAAGCTGCTTAAATTGCTCCCTATGAGACCGCGTTGACTGTCCTAACAAGTTGTTTTGTTTTGTTTTAATTCAGAAACGCATGATACGGTCTTCTGAGAAGGTTGCATTTCAACTTGATTTATTTCTAGTGCAAGAATGCAAGTTCCTGGATTCTGTTTGTACTACATGCTTCCTTGCCTTCACCTCTAGTTCAGTATCACCACCCCTCTTGGAAGTATATGAGGGGGAATGCCATTTTACACCCAAGGACAGTGAGGGTTAGCTTGTGCAAGATCACTCAGTGAGAAGCAAGTGCAAGATAAAAGCCTTCACTCCTTAAAGAGTAGTACTTTTCTCATCAGCACAGAACCAAAAGAGGCCACGCGTATGAGACTCCAAACATTCTTATTTTGAAGGTGATTACTCGAAATGTAAGACCTGAGCTATGGAGGCTGTTTATATCGGTAACCCAACCAATGGCCGCCTGCTTTAAATTTGCTCAAAATCCCCAAGGCAAGTCCTGAGCCCTGTCTCCTATGTTTTATGCAGAGACACCTCAAAGTATATTTTGCCAGACTACAAGAATAGTGAGGCCTGCCAGATCAGATTTTCCCAGTTACCAGAAGCTTCTCACCTCACCTCTACTTCAGCCTCTCTGAGTCATAACCAGTCACCCTAAAACCTAGCTTCTCTGCACTTTCTGAATATGGAAATGACAGTCCTGACTTATGACACCAGGACCTGTTAAAAAGATTGATTTTGTAAGAAAAATTGCATGTAAGTTTTTTGCCAGTGGGTACCATGGCCACTTTTATACATAAGAGACTAGTATGTTAGGCAAAGAATTTGTACTCATATTTTTTTTTTAAGTTTTATTTATTTATTTTCAGAGAGAGACAGAGTGAGGGGAGGGGCAAAGAGAGAGGGAGAGAGAGGATCCCAAGCAGGCTTCACATTGTCAGCCTGGAGCCTGATGCAGGGCTCGAACTCATGAACCGTGAGATCGTGACCTAAGCCGAAATCAAGAGTCAGACGCTTAATTGACTGAGCCACCCAGGCACCCGCCTTACTCATGTTTCTTAAGAGAAAAAAGTAGAGTGGTCTTCTTAGAAGAACAGATATAAAAACACAAGATACTGCATCCTGGAATCCACCCCAAGTCCAAATCCTTTTGGGGATCTTTTCTTTTGTATCTATAGTCCTAGAACTTCTTTGGGCGTATTTCCTCCAAAGCTCTTTTTTTTTTTTTTCTTCCTTTCAAAGGAACCGTAGTATGAATACTGGAAAATGAGAAAATTAAAGATGGATCTACCAAACCAATTGTGTGTGTGTGTGTGTGTGTGTGTGTGTGTGTGTGTGTGTGTGTGTAACCCACTTACAACACCTTTCATCCACAGAACTAAAGGCACCATGGAAAGGACCGCTGAGGAGAAAAACTAGGGGACTTGTGATAACTTCCAAAGAACAAAGCCCTCACAGGCGAGGGTGAGGGTGAGTGTTCTGCTCTTATTGCCTTTGAAAGTGACCTGAGGGCTCATCACGTCCAAAATCCACGCGCATAGTGATTGAGAGATGTGCCCAGTGATCTCAGGAAGTAGAAAAAGGAGCCAAGACAAGAACCTAGATCTCTTCTCACATCCTTTCCACCTACCATTTGCAGGCCTTAGCACAGTCTTTTCACAGAGATGAAGAATCGGAAGTCTAACCAGTGGCTCACCTCAGGAGGTGATTTTAATTGTCATTTTCCATATGTTTTGTGGAGAATTAAAATGATGAAAGGTATTTCAGACGGCAGTAATCATGGCCACGTAACTTGGTGTTCTGCAGCTCTGGCAACTGACAAACCCCATTTCTTTTCTTTTTTTTTTTTTTTTCAACGTTTATTTATTTTCGGGACAGAGAGAGACAGAGCATGAACGGGGGAGGGGCAGAGAGAGAGAGGGAGACACAGAATCGGAAACAGGCTCCAGGCTCCGAGCCATCAGCCCAGAGCCCGACGCGGGGCTCGAACTCACGGACCGCGAGATCGTGACCCGGCTGAGGTCGGACGCTTAACCGACTGCGCCACCCAGGCGCCCCGACAAACCCCATTTCAAACCCACTTTGACAGACTGTCGCTTGGAATACTTTGGGAGTATCTTGTCCTTTGTAGGTGCCTCACAAACATTTATGAAAATAATGTCAGAAAATGAGTTAGAGAGATCTATTGAGGTGTGGGTTGTGTTTCAGAAACCTTGATGCTGATCCTAAAACACTAAATAACACTCCCGAGTTCTCACATGTATCAGGCACCATGCCAAGTGTCTTACCACAGTGCTTTCCCAGGTGTGGTTCCCTGACCCGCAGCCTGGGCACCACCTGGGAACTTGTCAAGAATGCAGATTCTCTGGGGGCGCCTGGGTGGCTCAGTTGGTTTAGCGTCTGACTTCAGCTCAGGTCATGATCTCACAGTTCGTGGGTTCGAGTCCCGCGTCGGGCTCTGTGCTGACAGCTCGGAGCCTGGAGCTTGCTTCGGATTCTGCGTCTCCCTCTCCCTCTGCCTCTCCCCCACTCAGGCTATGTGTCTCTTCCTCTCAAAAATCAATAAATATTAGAAATTAAAATTTAAAAAAAGAATACAGATTCTCTAGCTCTACCCAGACCTACTGAGTCAGAAATGTGGGGAATGAACCCAACAATCTGTGTTTTAACAACCTTCCAGGTGATCCTGATGAACAATAAACTTGGAGAACCACTGCTTGATGTGTATTCTCTCATTTAATTCTCTATCCCAATACAGTGATACTACTGTCAATTTCGTATTACCAAGGATGAAACTGGGGCATGAGAGTGCTCTGTAGGTGCTCACCAGCCTCAGTGGCTATCGGCTAGTGGACTGGACAGTGCAGATAGAGAATATTCCATCATCACCAGAATGTCTACTGGACAAGGCTGTGTGAAGCATTCAGCTTACTGAATTTGCTTGTAGCAGGTCAAACACATATAGGTCAGGACTCTCCCCGGAGAGTTCTTCAACTAGAGAATTCATGAAGATGTTAAAAGGATGAGTTAAGAATGACAGACCATTGAGTTCCCCAAACAATACTTCAGTAATAAGAGCTAACATGTATTACATGCACTTGCTCTGTGCTGGGCACTTTGTGTGTTTAGACACAATATCTCATTTAATATTTCTATCAGGCTATATGATAGGAATTATTAGTGCTGCTTTTTCAAGTAAGTAAACAAAGAGCAACTTGCATAAAGTCCCACACTTATTAGTCTCTAGTATCTCGTAGTTAGGAGCTCGCTGATATCCCTTAACTAGTACGCCCAAGGGAGGGGTCCGCCCCTCCCTGACTAGTCTAGAGTCTTCTCTCAAGCACTTGTGATCCTCTCCTGTGTGTCCCTTGACCTTAGCCCTCACTTCTCCCTCCTTGCCTCCTTCCTTCCTATGCTTCTTGCTTCAGTGCTCCTACAATTCTTCCCCAAAAGTTCTTCGTGTGTGCACCCAGCGGGTCTGTCTAGTTTGCTTTTTCCTGCAGCCTTTCTTTTCCCCCAGTTCTCACCGTCACGTGCTGTGTGCCCGTGTTCCTAGCTTAACGGCGGTGACTGTGCCACGTGGCGGCCCTTGGTCTCTTTCACATGACAACTCTGTTCTCATTGCCTCTGCGTTCTCCCTGTGTGATCAACGTGCTCTTTTCACTCTGTCAACCAGAGGGGTCTTTTGGAATGTCTTCGGCCGGCAAGGGTCCATTCTTCCCGGAAGTTGAGCTGAAAACAGATTGCCTATCACTACCATGTCACTTTTCCAAGTACCCCCATAGGCAGAACAACCTGGAGGCTCTACTGTTAATCATTTAAAGTTCTCATCTGTTAACTCCCGATAATTCTGCGCTACTGGCGAGGCAGGGGTTGCCTTCTTTGTCCAGGAAGGAAACTGGCTTAGAGCTTCGGTGACTTATCCTCAGATATGTAATTCAGCATTGTGACAAACGTTTACGTAGGGCCTCCTTTGTGAAAGGCACAGGGGAAATACAATATGCCAGTAGGTTAGAGGAGGACCCACAGAGATGCTAGCTGGAAAATAGCATAGGAATGAAAGATTGACCAAGATGTTTGGGGAAGGGATAAAATAGATAGATGATAGGAGAAAGGGCTTTCCACTCAGAAACTAGGACACGGAAACATGAAAGCATTTAGGGAAAAGCAAATCCATACAGTAAGTGGCAAAATGAGAATGGAAATACGAGGTTAAACTATACAAAATTGTCAACATTGGATTGTTATTTTTTGCCAAAACACCAGTAGTTCAGTGTGGACCAACCTCATCTATCCAATGAAAAAGCATTTTGTCAAGCACCTGTTTTACAGGTACCATCAAAGCACCAAGAATTAGAAATGAGACACAGTCTCAAGAGATGTCTCTCAGAGATGAACATGGAAAGCCAGTGAGAGGTAGAACCAAAGGCTTCTGGGTCTTGTACCTTTCCTGGACACACGCCATTAACTATGGCATTTAATTATTTGAAAAATGGCTCACTCGGTGTCTCTGAAATAAACAGAATATTTAGTATTTGATATAACCATGTTGGCTCTGTAGGATGTAGACTCTTTTTTTTTTTAATACCCCCCCATCCCTACCCACATACACACATGGTAAACCAGGCTGACGGTCATCATTTTCTGAAAGTGTTTCTGAAAAGCCCATGGTGTGGCTTTAAATGACTCTATTTAGAATAACTTGATCTGGGGCGCCTGGGTGGCTTGGTCGGTTAAGCGTCCAACTTTGGCTCAGGTCATGATCTCACGATCCATGAGTTCAAGCCCTGCGTCGGGCTCTGTGCTGACAGCTCAGAGCCTGGAGCCTGTTTCAGATTCTGTGTCTCCCTCTCTCTCTGCCCCTCCTCTGTTCATGCTCTGTCTCTCTGTCTCAAAAATAAATAAAAACGTTAAAAAAAATAAAAATAAAAATAATTTAGAATAACTTGATCTGATTTTACATAGTCACTGTCTTATCATATCCACCTTAACCCCGTTTTCAAATAAAATTTTTAAACATGGGCTTCCTGGGAAGACAGCTGTGACTCTTCTTTTATCTGTGAATTCAGGGTGAAGAAATATGTGTGCCTGGCACTTACTACCAGATCGCCCCCCACTAGCCTGTCCACAGAGAAGCCTATCGAGAGCAACTGTCAGTTCAAATAGATTATCTAGAGAGTTCCCTTAGCTTGCAGCAGCCTCCCCACCACCACCAAAAAAAAAAAGGAAATCCTATAATAATTTAAACACACACACACACACACACACACACACACACACACACACACACAAGTATTATGCGGGTAGTCCAGACATGACCACGGGACCAGACCTGGGGAGAGGTGTTCCCACTAAGAACCAGACAGCCAGTGAGCAAGATGGGTGTTATTCTTCAGCCATCTTCTAGAAGAAATTTCTTATACTAAAAGGAGAGGTGAGTCCTTGTGGGAATGCAAAGCCAAAAAATTGGGTTTTATGATGGATTCACCTCCTGGGAATTAACAAATTGCGGTATTTCTGAAGTTGCTGATTCCTGCATTGTGCTCCCTGGATCAGCCACTATTATGACTTCCAAGCCATCCTCACACCTTCTACAGCTTTGTATTCTTCTTTTGAGGAAAGCACATCCTGATGCCCCTTTGACGTACTGGCACTTTACTATGTCAAGGTAGACAGAAGAGTTTTTGCCTTTTGATCCATCTAAGTTCCAAAGTAACAACCTCTCTATTCAGCTTATGCTTCCCCACCCCCAGAAAACAATAGGTCCAGATACACAAAGAGTACTTACGGTACTTATGGTTCAGATTTTCATCATTTTACGTGTGGATTTGCCATAAAATTGTTGTGTGGCAACTCCTCACTATGCCCGTGTATCTAGTCTCTCCTTCCTTTTTAGTAATGGAATCCTCTCCCTTAGTTTTAGGAGAGAACATACTGCCAAGTAGGAACTACATTTCCCAGCCTACCCTTCAGCGAGGTGTGGATCTGTGCGTTTGTTCTAGCCAATGGGATACGAGCAAAAGTGATATGTGCAATTTCTAAGACACAGCTTTTTTAAAGGAAGTTGCTTCCCCTTACCACCACCCCCCACTTCTGGAAGAGCCTGTTGGACCAATGGCTGGAAGACACAAGAGAAAGATAGGGGGAATCAACCCCTGAGCCTGGGTCCCTGGACTCAATAAGCAGTGCTGCCTCTCTGCCCTGGATTACACCACCTATCGCTGGACTGTTATGTGAGAAATAAACATTCATCATATTTAAGCCACTTTATCTTGAGATCTCTTTGTACCTTAGCTATTATCCCAACTAATACACTCATCTTACTAGACTCTTTGTCTAATGTCTGCCTTCCAGTTGGGTTACTTCAATTCAACCAACATTTTGTGGGAGCCTTACCATGTGGTGAGACAGTGTTTTTCAAAGTAGGGTTCCCAGACCAGCGGCATCATCCTCACCTGGGAATTGTTAGATATGCTAATCCACAAACCTCTACCCCAGCCTTCCTGAATGAGAAGCTCTGGGGGTGGAGCTCAGCAGTGGGTTTTTTGTTTTTGTTTGTTTTTTTTTTAAGTTTATTTTGAGAGAGAGAGAGCACGTGCTCATGTGGGAGAGGGACAGAGAAAGAGGGAGACAGAATCCCAAGCATGTGGGCCTCGAACTCAGGAAGAGTGAGATCATGACCTGAGCTGAGATCAAGAGTCGGAGGTTTAACCAAATGAGCCACCCAGGCGCCCGTCAGCAATCAGTTTTAACAAGCCCTTCAGGTGCTCTGGATACATGTTCATGTTTAAAAGCCACTGTGCTGGGGGATAAAAAAAGGGATAA